TGGTTCTGCAGAACCGCACACGCCTGACAAACCTCATTATTTACACTCAGTTCAGATGTTTGTTTGTTTTTTCAGTAAACCTGTGTGGCTCCAAATGTTCGGCTTGTTGCTAATTGAGCTGAAAAGTCGAGAGGAGAGAAGTGATGTAAAAAATGTAGAAACGACATAAAGCATGGTGTTCATGTGGTGCCCCACCCCACCCAAACCACATGGGAGGGAGGGGGGAGATGCAAAACTGTTAACTAAGGAAGAAGACAGATGAAGAGCCCAAAAATAAAATAAATTCTATATATTAATGTAATAATATTATTCAACATTTGATTTCTTGATAAAGTTTAAAACGAATTAAAGATCTTAAATTTAGTAATTTATTTCATAAAGCACATTTTAAAACAAGCTGTGACCAAAACAATAATAAATAAGGCAAAGACTGAGGTGAAAACAAGAGAGGACCAAGGATCGAGCCCTGAGGAACCCCACAGGAACGCTAAAGCTTCATTTATTCATGTAAGAACAGAAACTTTAATGGTTTAAAATATTAAATTTACTCTAAGACAAACAAACACACAGAGGTAATTTCTGTAATTGAATTTGTATTTAGAACATTTCCCAGTAAAAATGGGTTTTACACAATAAAAGCAGAGGTTAATTTTCACAATAAAATGAAAATTCTGTCACATCTCCTGCCTGTGGTGCAAACATTCTGCTTTTCTGTAATAAAGTAGTTCTTAATAAATTAATCAAATTCCATGCAGGTATGCAAACACTTGGTTAATGAATCATTTCCAACTAAATGTCTGTTTGCATGAAGTGTTGAGTAAAGAAACTGTACCAGCAGAAGAGTTTCTCTGAGAACAGAGGTGGAAAGTGGAAAAATACAGATTATTTTATGATCACAAACAGAAGAAAAAAAACCACTGAGCAGAAAAACAGAAGCTGTCAGAGAAAAAGAGGAAAATAAGAAGTTCAGCCTGCTGTAAAATGGTCCATTTTGTGTCACGTTAAACTCTGTCTCTCCTTGTTTTAACTCCACTACATCAGAATCAAGTTGCTCTCTCCTCCCATAGATGTGCATGAAGGCGTGCTGTTCTCTCAGGTTCACTATTCACATCATTTCTACACAAAACCACCTCTGCAGGATTATTTTCCTCCACTTGTCAGGGTCAAAATAAATAAAACAGGGTAAGTATCTGTTTCTACACTTGGATTAAAAACCCTCAGATCTGGGACAACATGCTGCAGGTGTTGTGCTGAGTTTGGGTTTCAGTGTGGAGATAGTGGGAACAGAAGTGAACACAACATCAATTAGTCTACAAAACGCAGCAAAAATGTTCTGTAACAAATTTCATCATCTGTATTTTCACATAAATGACATTTACTGTTTGTCTCCTTGACATCCTCTGCTTAGATTTCAAATTACAGGAAGATTTTTGAGAGTAAATCTGCTTTTATTTTGAAGGCTGGACTCTTCAGGTTCTGCCTGTGGACAGAAACATCCTCGTTTGCTTTCATTTGTTTATTACAAGCGTTTCATAATTGATTAAAACTCACTCTGAAACGTGAAGTCTTTCTGTCCTCTGACTAAAGGACAGAAAACCGTTGAAGCTCTTAAACCCGGTTGATTTGTTGAAGGTGGTTTGACGCCGAAGGACGAAGACGCTCGTCCAGCGGCTCCAAATCAACTTTCAGACGACGTCCTCTGAGCTCTAATGTGGTTACGCCGCTGCTGTTTGTGTTTTTAGGCTGAGTGATTTATAAAAGCTCTCAGAGGTGAAGGAGGAGTCAGAGCCGCCATGTTTGTTTGTCCTCATCACCTGAAAGTCTTAACGAGTCAGTCTTTAACGAGGTGAGAGGAGAATCTTTCTGTTCCAACACAGTTCTGCATCACAGACGGATGACTTTCTGTTTCTACAAACTGTTTCTAAACAGACCAGGCGACCTTCAAGAGAAAAGCTTTAAACGAAGCTTTTTGTCTGCAAACTACTTTAATGTTAACAGATTATCTAAAAATATTACAAAATTAATAAAATAAAACAAAAAACAAGAGTTTGTTCAAATGATCTGAACTAAAATCTGACAAATATTTAATAATGTTAAACACCTACCAAATGTTAGACATGAAGGATGCTGAATAAATATATAAATGGCTTACCATAGCCCTTCACAAATCGTCAAAATATATTAGAAAACTTCTTGCCATACCTGCACCTTAGTCTGCAGCTTTGTCAGTTTACTGTATTTATACTAAACATCCGTACCAAACCCTCACAGAACCAGAACCAGGAGCAAAACCATCACAGAACCAGAACTGTTTCACTGGAGATCAAAGGGTTTCTGTCTTGCAGAAACAAAATGACATAAAAGGAGTCCACTGAGGTGGTTCACCTGATCAGGACGAGTCTAGGCACTCGAGGACTCGTCCTGATCAGGTGAACCACCTCAGTGGACTTCTTTAGATCCAGAGGACCAGCACCTCGTCTCCAAGGCTGAGCCCTCCTCTGAACGGGGATCCAGGATCTGGTCCCTTCAGACCCGATCCAAACTGGGTTGGAATGTAGACGGACCAAAACATCCAGAGCTCCTTGACCACGACCGACCAAAACAACACCCTCATTACTGAGGACCATTTGGATCCACCTCCCTGCATCAGGAACAAAACCAGATACCTGGACTCCTCCGGTCCTCCCTCTTCTGGGTCAAGAAGAGGATTTTTATGGAACCAATAAGATCCACCAAACACCAGCTTTGATCTTTAGGGAAAACTTCTGAACATTTTCAACCAGAAACAGGAACTAAATCAGTAAAATCAGGTTCCTGCAGCCAACAGATGAGTGGATCTAAAGAAAACTCTGGAGTCTGACCCAGAAACAAAGAGCAGAACCCTGGAAACATCTGAAAAATAAGAGCTGTTTTACATTTATTCTTTTATTTTAAATAAAAACGGCTGAAACTCCAGCTGTTCCACCAAAATCAATCAATCAATAAATCAGGTATTGAAGAACAATGCGTCTCCTGTGAAGATGTTCAGACCCAAACCCAGCCCCGGATCAGAAATCCACTGGATCCAACAAACTTGACTGATCAGATCCCTGCAGGTCCTGGTCTGCAGCAGCTGCAGCTGGACCACGCATAGCAAACAGGACGGAGCACAAGCTGCGTCTGCAGCACCCAAACCTGCTGAGGGGGGAGTCTTACCTCCTGCTCCAAGGGGGCGGGGGTCAGTCAGTGAACCTGAGAGCTCCTGAAGCTCCTCAGGACTCAGAAACTCCACAGCTCTGGTTCACAGGTTCAAATCTGCTGCGCTTCATCTCCTTGGGCATGGCAGGTTCCTCTGACATGCTCCCCTTTAAACGAGGGGGGGCTCAGACAGTGATGATGCCAGGGCAGAGAGGAGGGCAGCAGGACCACTGACAGCTGGACAAGTAATAATCCCAATCCGTGATAGATCTGAGCATCCTTCAGTGTGAGGAGAAAAAAAAACCCAGGAAGATCCAGAGGAGCAGAACTCTGTCCGCAGCTTAAATCCTCCTGAAGTGAGGAGGCGCTCGGCAGGAGGCGGGAGGAGGAGGGGGGAGGACGTGCTGTTGCATCAACATCCCTCTGAGACTAGTTTCTCTTCTTTAGAGAGGAGAACGAGAAGAGGAGCATCATCGTCATCATCTCAACACCGAAGTCTGCACAGGAGCGAGTGTGTGAGCCAGCATGTGTGTGTGTGTGAGAGAAAGAGAGAGAGAGAGAGGAGAGAGAGAGAGGGAGCTGAGAGGAGGCGAACAGGCAGGAGGCAGCGAGCGCGAGTGAAGTCAGAGAGCGATGTGAGAGGAGAGGATGCTGAGAGGAGGAGAGAGAGAGGAGAGCAGGGAAGAGGTGGAGTTTTCCTTGCAGTGGGTGTGGGGGGGGCAGATAATTATTGTGTTTATATCACAGTTCTAAGCTCTGTACTGTATATGATAAATAACTTTGAAAAAGCATCAACAAATTAAGGATATCTTAAAAGCAATGAGATTTTATTTTTTTAAAATGCATAGCGCACACCTTCCGTCATCAGTTTCTATGAGCTTGTATTTGTTTGAGTTGAATATTATTTTTGTTTTATTTGGTTTAATATTGTTTGAAATTATTATATTTTGTAAATAGGAGCAGATAAGATTTTTTTCTTCTGCTGCCTTTCATTTTATTTGATTTGTATTTTTTTTGTTGTATGTAATGTGTTTTTTAATTAAATGAATACTAAAATAACGAAAAATTTGTGGAAGCTAATGCTAACTGCTAAACAAATAAAAAATATTATTGAATGCCAACGCTAACTGCTTAACAAATAAAACATCAGCCGAACGCTAATGTGAAATATTTCCTTTACCAAATATAATTTATACGTAAATGATTTTTGAACTCATTATTTAAATATAACTAAATATTCTTCTTTTTTATGTTCTTTGTTTCCAATGTTGGCAAAAAAAAATCCTAATCTGCTAAATGAAACCAGTTCTACTGTTAGCAGATTGAAAGAGTTAAGATTTGGTGGTAGTAGCTGAGAGTCATCTATAGCATATACTGAGTGTAATGTGTCAACATATTACTTTTTATTTTCACAGTTTGAACAAACGGCCTCACAGGAAGTCGTTAACTCTGGGATTTTAATTTTTGTTTCAAGACGTTTCACTTTGACATTTTATCGATTAAACATCAGAAGAAATGGTTGTTATTTCTGCCCTGCTTAAAGAAACATGTCAGACTCTGTGCTATTAAATCTTAATATATACATGTTTCTGTAACACACACAGTTTACCTGTAACACACACATACACACCTAATTTGCTGAAAGCGCTTTAGCTCAGCTACAATCAATACTTGTTATGAAACAAATATCGGCCTGTTTTTTTTTTTTTTTTTTGAAGTGATGGAAAATAAAGAAAAGCAGCATAAATTCTCTCTCCTTCCTCCGCTCTGCTGTCTGAGCACCACATGCAATTATAAAGACACGCCTCTGTGCGCCGCCGTCGATACCAACAGATGGACTCGCAGCCCGCCGCTGACGATCCAGTATGGATCTGCCACCGGAGCCGCCGTGCACGCCAGGACACGCTTTACGGTCAAAGGGAGGGGCTAATTACTGCTGACCTTCACTAATTACTGAGCAGCCGACTTGTTTGTCCCGTCGTTGGGTTACAGTAACGTGTTTTTATAAAAATATAAAATATCTGCAGCAGCAGGAGAACTGGAGTCAAATAAATCTGATGTTTTTCCCAGTGGGATCTTTGGAACAAATGTTTAAATATACAGGAAATCTTTAATAGAAATGCTCACTGATCACCTGAGTCTAAGCTCCGCCCTCTCAGGTGACAGGAACAGGTGTTGGACCGACAGAGGTGTCTGTCCTCTAGAAGGCTGAAGCAAATATAGTGAGCCTTTTAGCTTTTAGCTAAGCTTTTGCTACTTTTTGCCAGTGTTTTGTTATTTAAGAAAGCTTGTTGCTGCTCCTTTTAGCTAACATTTTTTGTCTTTAGTAGTGTGTTTCTGCTCTTTGCTAGCATTTAGCTACATTTAGTTTTAAGTAGAAAAAAAGCAGCTCCTCTTTTTGCGGCTTTTTTATAGATATGATCTGCTTTGGTACTCTTGTTAGCCTATTGCTAATTTTAGCTAAAATTTTGTGTAGTTTAGCTGATGTTTTGCTACTATAAGCACTTTGCCAAATCTAGCTTTTAGGCAGTGGTTTACAATTTTTTAGTTCTCAGCTTGGTATTTGCTAATTCTGGATTTTAGCCAGTGTTTTAATTTTTGATTATTTTTTATCTTTTAGCTTTGAGCTAACAGTTGCTATGTTTATATGTTAGCTGCCCTTTGTTTCTCGGTGATCACACCTTGACAGAAAGTCAATTTCTTTAGCTGTTTTTATGTGAAACCACTGATGAAATCCTGTTTTTAGCTCAAACATCTGATTCTGTTTAACTGAGTTTTAGTTTTAAGTTTAATCTCTTAGTGTTCATTCTGTGTTTGCTACATTATTTTAAATAATTTGAATAAAAACTGTTTTTATTTTAATGAGTTAAATTCTTGAAAGCAGCAGCAGCTGATAAAACACATCAGTGTCAGAAAAAGGCTGAATTATTTGGCTAATCGCTGCAGTTTAGCATTCGGCTGTGACACTCAGACTTCTGTTAATTAGAATTTCATGTTTCAGTGATTTAATGAAACTAATGACTTCAAATCAGAATCTGAGAATAAATCCAAATGAGTTTAAAATGAGGTTCAATTCAGAGTTTTTAACTTCTTGTTTTTATTTGTGTGAACACTGACTCAGCATTTCCTGTTTTGATTTGTTTCGGCTGTTTTCGGTCTTTTTCTCCTGCTGAGGCGGCGTTTTTATCCTCTGCAACAGCAAGAGGTTCAGGTGGACCCGAGCGGAACACGTGAGCCCAACAGAAACCCGTGAAATGATCCTGAGCCTGGCGGAGAAACCGACCCGACCGTGGAGAATCAGAAGGAATCAAAATGTAAATGCTGGTCCGGTCCGGGTTCTGGAGTCCAAACTGAACTCTGCTGAATCAAACAGGCCAGAAATATAAAGACACCTGCTTCAGATAAAAACACTTCTGTGGGTCCTGGAAGAACTGGACCCTCAGAGACCCGGACCAGGTTTTGGCCTTTGATCTATCCTTTAGATTCAGTTTTTAAGATTTGTGAGGCAGCAGGACAAAAAAACGAAGACTCGCCTCCAAATATCCAAACGATATTAAAATGTAGTACATTTATAATAATATTATAAATTTACTAGATTTTAATAATTATTTAAAAAATCATAAATATTAATATTAAATCTTAATATTATCAATGCTTGAAAAGTGGATATTTTTGTATTTTTATCATAAACTCAAAGACTCGTGGTTCTGAGCTGAACAGAAAAGAAAGTTTCTGTGAAAAACAACGAAGGAAACAGCTGTTAAAGCTAAAACAGAGCTCAAGCTAAAAGAGGCTAAATATGGACTACAAGTCGCTAGAGCCTAGCTAAAATTTAAAATGAGCAAAGAGCCAAAAAAGTATCAAACATCCAGCTAAAAGAAAAAGCTGGCTAAAAGCAACAAGAGACTAGCTAAAAGTTAAGTAGCTGAACAACAATTCAAAGTAGCTAAATTTAAACTAGCTAAAAGTATCAAGAGTAGCTAGAAGCTAACAGTAGCATTCATCCAATAAAAAACATTTAGCTGTTAAAGTAATGAAGAGCTGGAAACATTTGACTCTTGGCTAATAACACTAACTTTTAGCTATGGTAGCTAAGTGTTTGCTAAGTTTGGTTAGTGGTGGCAGCCATTTTGAATCAGGTTAGTTGTAAATAAATCCAGTGAATTTCTCCATAAATAAATGTTTGTATTTCTGTGTTTTCATCAACGCATCCTGTCTGTATTTATTAAACCATTTATGCTGGCATTGTGTGTTGTTGTGTTTGTTTGTATTATCTGTGTGTTGTGTTTGTGTTGTTGTGTTTATGTGCTGGAATCAAGGCGAGCCTGAAGGCAGCAGGTTCATTTCTTATGAACTCTACACTATAATTAATTAATTATGGTTTCAGCTCCTTTATATTAATTGTGCAGCTGTATTAATAAATGTATTAATAAAGAAGATAAAGGACAAATATTTAATTGGCTTGCTTTCATCTTGATTTTTTTTTTTTGTCATCTTCATCTTGATTTTCAATTTGCTCCTCGTGGCCCAGCCACACACATATGTTAATTATCAGGGACTAATGACAAAAATTTGTTAATTTAAATCTAATTAAGTCATTTTATTCCAGTTATAACAGAATAAAGTCTCTGCGTCACTTTATGAAGTGATAATTAGTAAAGATGATCAGCTCTAGAACTGCTGGGCTCAGATCTTCACCAACACCACAGTGACAGAGGAAAGAAACCTCCAACAGAACCAGAACCAGACCAGCCGGGGTCAGGAAGTCAAACAGGAAGTGGTCCAGGTGTGGTTCAAATAAGCTCAAACTTGAGGAACCACAACCTGCAGTCTGAGAGCGAAGTGCTCTGTTAGGAAYGTATGGAACAATAAGATGTTTAAAGTTTGAAGCCTGACAGTAAATCTGGTTTCATTAGGAGTTTAAATGAAAAAAAAAAGGATCAAAACGTTTCTACGGTTCAGTAAAATCAGATTAAACTTTTCTGATCTGCAGGTTTTCAACATGGAAGCAGAGACTTTGAGCTGAAGGGACGGGGTGAAAACTAATGAATTCTCCTCGATGCTCCCTCGGCTAACCTCAGCGCCAGGCCTTGACATTTAGCTCCGCCCCTCTGGGAGCAGCTGGAGGGCATTTCTAACAACCCGACCATCTGAGGCAGGAGAGCTGGAGACTATTACACGCCGGCTCCAACCGCAAGATTACTGACCTTCACTCTGAGGACTGAACTCACAGAGAGGGAATAACTGTCAGTAAAATATCTGGTCAGAAACACTGCATGTTAGCAATAAATGAATTAAAATTGCTTATTTCAACATGTGTTTTCAACAATAAAATGTCCAATTACATAGAAAAACTGTGGAAACCTGCTGATTGAAACTAACATAAATAAGCACATTTATTTAACTAAATAAACAAAAAAGTTTTAGTTTAGAGGAGCTGAAAAAAAGAAAATGTTTTTTCTGCGGAAAAAAATATATTATTTTTCTTATCAGGGTTGAAACCCTCTGACCAGAAATACAGAGTTCTTAATTAACCCTTAAACAGTCTGCT